TTTTATTAATGTATTTTTAACTCCTTAAGGATACTTTTAAACAAGCGAATATACCTACTGAATTGGATCCTTTGGCAAAACATAAAAATGCAACAATTTAGTTCTTGAATTATTAACAATTAAAAACACAATAATACACCATTATCACTTTTTTAATAGGTATAACAAAAAAAGTAGTTTGTCTTAATAAAGTATTCGTCCAACAATTGTTTTTGTTACGGCAAAAAGATCATTTTTATAAAAATTATTTATCTACAAACGCTGCTTTCAGTAATAGCATTTGCATTAATTATAAAGTAAATTTACGTTTTGTTTATAAAAATAACACTCTTCTAGATGCAGAAACGCATTGATAAATATAGTTATTATTATTTGTCCAAAAAAACAGTTCTTTGTAGTATTAATGAAACCCTAATGGTATTATTCATAGAAATTTTGTAAATTTTACAAATCCCTTTTCGTTTATAATATTAATAAAATTGATGTAAATTTAACAACAAATCAATTGTTAATTTAATAAACAACGGTTACATTTTCAATCTACTGTTTTTTTTAAATAATTGCAAGGCATTAAAACAAATTATTTATTATAACAAAAAAATTAACTCATATTATATGATGTACAAAATAAAAAAATATGATCTCACTTTTTAAACAAGAAGTCTGCTTCGTTTATAGAATAGACCTTAAATATTACTTTTAGAAAACGTCGAAATTTTAATTTTCTTAGTGATCTTTTTAATATTTTTATCATGCTAGATTTTAGCACACTTCACAAGTGAAATCAATAAGATTATAACACAGACTGTTATGTTCACCAAGGAGAGCGCTGGCCCTTTCCCCCTCTTTTTAAGGGAAATAACCAAAATGTTGTTACCATTCAGCCATTCCACGCTACTCGGGAATTTTTGTAGCGTCCGCTACAATCAAAAATTGTGAGTAAAAGCAACCCTAATTAAATTAAATACTTTTACAATAGTTACTATTGCAAACATGTTTATTATGCTTGTAATAATTAGGCTTAAGCTTATAAGCATCATAATCATAATTGTAACGGACGCTACAAAAATTCCCGAGTAACGTGGAATGGCTGCATTGCAAAACAGTTAAAAATATTAAAAAAGTCTTTTTATAGCAATAAAATATTTTGTTATTGTTCTTAACTTAAGCTATAAACAAAGATTTTTTAACTGAAATAAAATTAATTTGAATTAAAACTATAGTAATTAAAAAAAATATGCCATAGTAAAAAAATGTACTATAACAACTGCGCATTACTTTATGTAAGCGCAATTCACACACAACTACAGATTTAACAAAAACATTTTTAAGTTCGACAATGATTTAATATAAACATGAAGTATTTCTTATTGTCATGACAATATGATAACAACTATTACTTTGTTGGATGAAATTTTTTTTAATAAAAGCTCAACATTGCAGCTTCATTCTAGTAAATGAGAATTTTATTAACAGTAAAAAAAGTTTATTCTGTAAATAAAGATAATCTCATTACTTTGACAAATCGTCCCAATAAGGCACTGAAAATTTAATAAAAAAGGTACTTTAGGTGGTAAATTTTTGTATAGCCATTACAATTTAAAATTTCAGTTAAATAATATTATTTTATTAATCGCTTACAAAATTAGTTTCATTATCAGTGCATGTACATTTTTCTGAGTGTATATTAAGCATAAAGCGGTGAGTTTCTTAATTAATGATATAAGGAATAATAAATTGAAATATAGTACCAAAGTTTTTCAGTTTTTACTTCCGACACGAAACAAATACCTTGTGGGATTTAGCTATGCAATTGAAACTTTGAGAACAAAATTTATCTCCTCTCTTTTGTAAAATTTTGTGAAAAAAATACTTCACAATTCCCGTTGTGACTATAGTTTGTCAGTAGATCATTTCTGTTTTTTGTCATAATTACTATGTAATCTGCGATATTTGATATTTCAATCCTTTCTAAATGTTTTTTTACCAGACGGCTACCTAAATTTACCAATTCTAGTAGAAAATCTACTAAGGCAACACTGATCATCTCTCTTAAAATGAATTAGTCAAAAATAACTAATTATAAGTCATATTTGACTAATTGTCATAGTGAAAAAGCAGTCACTAATAATTAGTCAAATACGTATTACTTATACCGGGTAGATCATAAAAACGGTTATAAATTTTTCCATTGCTTGTATTATTATAATATTTCACGATTTTTTTGCTGTAATAAACAATATATTTTTTAACATTTTAACAATACAATGGCAGTGATTTTTATTGAGTAAAAATCGATGACAATGCGCTGCGTTTTCAGACAGAACCATGCCCCAACGTATTATTTGCATATTTAAATAAAACATTTTTAAATGTTTCTAGATGACATTACAAATTGCTGATACGTGCCTGATAAAAAGTATTATCTTCAACAGTCAATCAAAAATAACATGCAATCTTTTTCTGCAATGCATTGTCTGCAATTTTATTTTTATGTGCAATTTAAATAACAGCCATTGTGACACATATCTTATATGCCAAGAATATAAACAATAATAAAATAATAAATTGGAACAGATAATATAGAACTAGATGCATAAATAAGAACTTAAGTTCTTTAATTAAACAAAAGTTAATAGAACATTTTTTTTATTAAATATTGCAAAAAATTATTTTGAAAAAATTTCGACATTAAAACTTAAAAAAACATTAGTTTGTGAAATAGATGGGGCTAAAAAGTAAAAGTATATTGAACCATATACTTAATTAAACGATAACCCAACAAAATGCACCCAAATTGTAGTAACCAATAAAGTAATCTCATTTAGAAGAAACAAACGCAAACAATTGAGTCAATTAAATGAAATTAAATGCATGTTTGGTCGTAGTGCCAGATTCCGTTGATAATGGTAAGTATGTAAGTAAGCGCACTTAATTGCCAAGAATAGATTAATTCGAAGCGCGGACGCCATATGGTCGGATCAAGGTCAATTTCGTGAAATATAAGACGTCGCATTCAATTACCAGTACCAGTTTTTTTCCTATTTTAATTTTGAATCATAAACGAAGCCCACTTGTTCTGCAATGTTGTCAGATTTTAAAATTCTCCCGTTTTAGTTAAAATCTTACGGGTCAAAATTTTGTCAAAAAAACTCAACATCCGAGACTTTATGACGTATCCATATATTGTATGCTCTAATATTATTATATCCATATATTGTATGCTCTAATTATATAAGACATATATATATATCATATTAACGTTAAGTACTTAAAAAGAAGTATCATATTAATTTATATTTTAATATTTTCTTCGACATTTTCTAATTTTTTTGCAATTAAATTGCATATTTCCACCATTTCTTGCAGATCGTGATATGGCAACATACAAGAAGAATAAATAACAAGTATACTTATCTATAGATGTAGTAATTTATTGTTTACGTCTTGTGAAGCAGCGCCACTTTATTCGTTGATTGAAATCCTGACAATTAGAGGGTAACTCTTAATTGAATGATGAGCATTTTAAATTTGGAGTTTTGCATCAACACAAACAATTACCTAATTAATTTTATTAATTAATAGGTTGTCACTGCAGAATAATAAAAGGTTGATTTTTTACTTTTTTGTTATAAAATTTTACATTTATTATGTAATTTTACATAGTTCATTATTAAATTATTAAAAAAATTTTATTATCATACTTTTACTGCAAATATATTGGTTGCATAGATTTTACAATAACTTTATATTGCAATTTATATTTTAAGTATAGGCAACTCAGTATGCACGACTTTCCGACCAAGTAGGTATACCTAATAGTTATAATAAAGTTATAAATCTGATTTCCACGGGTTGAATCTACAGAAATATTTCTGTGGTTGAATGAAAATTAGTTTTTGTAAAAAAAAAACTTACAAATCAATAAAAAGTTCACCAGTAGACAAAATATCACCTCCAAATTAAATTTTTTTTGTTTTACATCTACTTATTTTTTATCTGTGGTCCATTTAAAAATTGATTTTTTTGTTTTTACACAAATATTTTTATATAAAAGAGTATAAAATGCTATAAGAATCATTATCCATCATAATTGTTGGTACAGCCTGTACATTTTTTGTAAAATAACGTGACAGAAGTATTTAATTTGTGAAATAAATAAAACGTCAATTAAAAAAAAAACTGTCATGAATGAATGCATTTGTGCGTACAGTAAAAGGTCCGATGATGGAGATTATTACACTTCGACAATAAGGTTAATAATTATTATAAATAAAAATATATTTCGATAAACTTAAAACAGAATATTTACAGGCCATTTGAAAGCTCTGCCATAAAAAAATGTTGCTGGATGCCTGCAGTTAGTGATGGTACATCAGTTTATTTATAATTTTTTGTTGTATGTATTTTGATGTATTCTAGATTCTGCTGTGGCAAAAACATCATCAATGGAAGTTAATATCGCTAAAAGTTTCGACGACTTAAATTCATATCGCATGGAGTCGAACGAATATGTGATATCTTCTAAAAGTTTGTAATAAGTACTTAATAACCCAGACAAATCTTCTTTAAATTTTTTTTCACATAAAATTTCAGTAGTTAGGTAGGTATAATAGATAAAAGAATACTTTTTAGATACTTCTTCTATAAGACTAAATCAATCACATAAATTTCTGGATTGGTTAAGTATGTGCTTTTGGAAGTGCAGTCCTGGATGTCAACAATTACCCACCTATTAGATATGATATATTATATTATTAAAAACTAATTTTATTGACAATACTTTAATATTTTTCTGGTAGAGCTTTGCTAGTCTTTTATGTAAATAAGTGGAATTCGTAGGTACTAGGATTTAGGCATTTCCAAATCCAAAATTCCCCATTTTAATTATTATGTTTTATGGAAGTCAATTTTAGGCGTAGTACTAGTACTAGTAGCTGATAAATGACATGCCTATCTCTGCTTATCTTTACATATAGTGTCGAAAATTTTGTAATTTTCTATAGCTAACAAACAAGACAACAATGGACAAAGCAATCACACAATCAATCACAATACATTCGTCTCTCTCTTACTCACTGGATATAGGAAATTAAGGAATTTTCGACACTTTATGTTTTTATCAATAAAATATGTGCTCCGACTACGTATCTACCTTCTTTATCTCAGTTATCTACCTAATAATAAGTGTTATTGCTATGTGTATTTAGAAGGCAATAGTTCTCTAAATACTACTTGTGTGAATTTTATTTGAATACGAGTGGGAAACTAAGTACAATTTCATCATTTTCAATCGCAACTTTGAAAAATATATAAGTAAGTCTATAAAACCAATCCTGAAGATGAACGTCATTGTTCCCGACCAAATTTTGGACACAATGGTGTGTTCGAAATGTTCGAAATACCTATCGGTCCTTCCAGTGCACATGTATCCAAACGGGGAAAAGAAATGTGGCCGGTGTATTGAAGAAGGCGACCACGGTATGCCGTCGCAGGTAAATAAAGTTTTCCCCACGATGCTTTTTAAGTGCTCAAACCGGTACGAGGGTTGCACCGATCTTTTACTACCGGAACAAGTGACCGACCACGAGAAAAGCTGCGTCAGCAGATATTTCGACACTTGTCCATTATGTCCCGACTTGAAGATGCCACCGTATACGTATATATATATGATGGTGGAACATTTTAAAAAACGCTACAGACATTACTTTTTAAAGAAACCCACATTCCAAATTAATGTCAACATTGAATCAGACAATTATTACCTGTACATCGCAGAAGACATGGTATTTATGTTGAACGTGTTGGTGGACACTACGCGTCACAGAATATTTTTGGATAATAGGCTACTGGGGTCGAAAACAATGGCGAAAAAAATAAATCAGCAATTTCGTATACAAGATATCACCACTGAGCTGAAACCATGCAAGACCACGTTAGAAGGAAGTTTCTTTATACCCATCGATAAAATTAAAAAGCAAGGAATCATATCATGCGAACTTATTTTGAAGTTTGATGTTGTAAAGTTCGGCGTGGTAAAAAAGAATAGTACAACGAATCCACAATGTAGCGTAGCAGAGATAAATAAAAATAATGTAAGTGGTGATAATAGTACGGCTGATGACAAAAGTATTTTAAAATCTTGTGAGGGAGAGCAAAATAACTACAAATTAAATCATAGTTGTAATTATTATAAATCCCATTACTATCGAAAACTATATCTGTCTGAGGTCTTCAAAAAATTATATCCTAATTATAAACTATCTGCTTGTGAAATGTTTATTACCGATGGTGATGACACATACATTTTATTTTGCAGTTTTTGTGGTGGGGATTTGTATCCAAACCCTTATTACTCATACAACCTATGTTCTGTTTCAACTGCAAGTTGTGGTTTCTGTAAGAATCATGTGAAAACAACATGCTCCAAAAGACACTCATTAACAGGGAGTTTAAGATATAAACAGTTTCAGGCAGTAGTTCGAGCGTATTGCAAATGGAACTGCGGCCAACATTTTAATTATTTTGATCTCCATATACACGAAATGGATTGCATTTCCCGCGACCCGATACCAAGTTGCCCAGTACAAGAATGCACAGCAGGAAATTTTAAAAACTTTTCGGAACTTGAGGAACATTTTAAATTACATAAAAATACAATTTTGACACCATATTGCGATAATATAACATGGGCTGGAGAAATAAACGGAGAAGAGTTCTATCTTTTTCAGGATCATGTAACTGTTGTGTTTTCTGGAAATAATAAAACCATTAAATTGACAAACGTTATTCAAAACGATGAATGCAAGCTTAAAATTTTTGTGAATGAAACACAAATTGCATTAAATCAAGAAATTAAATTTGTTTGCGGTGATATTCTTTGGTTTAGAGTTATAGAAGAACACGTTGTAACATGTAATAATTAATTGAGTAACCTATAAATTTGTAATATTGTACCTACACAATTTTATATATTTATTTTTAATAATAATATTATATTATTTGTATATACTCTTATATTATATATTATTATAACACTTTTAGTTTTATTTTATTTTTTGAATTTATGAATGTGTTTATTTTTAGAAAAATTAAACGCATTCATAAAGTTATTCCCTTTAATTTTGTGCAAAAACGTCTTGTATAGATTTTTTTAATTTTGTTAAACAGTCCTATATAGGTGGAAACTTTTATTCTTTTTTCTCGCCCACACCAATTCGGTTGAATCTAAATCCAGAAATAAGAAAAATGTTTTCTTCGAATCCTAACTAACTAAATCTTAAATTGGTCGCAGCCTCGTAAAATCCTAGAATTATTTTCTATAAATTTGTAATATTGTACCTACACAATTTTATATATTTATTTTTAAGTTTATATTGCATGTTATTTTTAATAATAATATTATATTATTTGTATATACTCTTACATTATATATTATTATAATACTTTTAGTTTTATTTCATTTTTTGAATTTATTAATGTGTTTATTTTTTAGAAAAATTAAACGCATTCATAAAGTTATTCCCTTTAAAAACTTTTATTTTGTGCAAAAAAGTCTTGTATAGATTTTTTAAATTTTGTTAAACAGTCCTATATAGGTGAAAACTTTTATTCTTTTTTCTCGCCCACACCAATTCGGTTGAATCTAAATCCAGAAATAAGAAAAATGTTTTCTTCCTAACTAACTTAACTAATCTTAAATTGGTCGCAAACTCGTAAAATCCTAGAATTATTTTCTAGAGTATTACTTTGTGCCCGCTTGTAGGTAATAGTTTTCCCAACAGGCGCGTGGGCAGAAAAAATTTCAGAGGGGGTTTTGGTATAAGAGTAAAATAAAACAAAAAAATCAAAAGCTTGTCATGACAAGCTTTTATAAAAGACCATGTTGTATTTTGTAACAATTAATTTTATATATAAAAGAAATAGGTTGAATCGAATAAAATAAATAATAAAAGAACTTATACAAATTAAAGATTTTCAATCCCTCTAACATTTAACACGTTTAATTGTTACAAAATACAACATGGTCTTTTAGTATTCTAATATGGTCTTCTATAATATATATATTATAACTGCATAATGTATTAAGTTTATATTAGATTAATAATAATAATATTATATTATTATAATATATTATACTATAATTTGTATTTTTATTTTTTATTACACAAGCCGACAAAATAAATCGGGTAATCTGAGATCTACAACCTTTATGTCCATTTTGAGTAGAAACACCCTGCAGGGTCTTTATATATGACTTTTAAACTGTAAAAAATACGAAATAATTGAATTTATTTTTTATACCCCTAACGTCAAATTTAAAAATAGGGGGTTCCAAAAATTTAGTTGTGTATTTTTAAAAACTCAAAAAAAAATAACCTTATTATGCTAATTTTTATATTAATGTATAAGATTTTTTCAGAATTGTTAAATTTGAAGTAATGGAAAAGGAAAAACAGTTTTGAAAGTAATTTTTAGGATTAAATTCTGCAGTACTGCTGGAGGGGCTGTATGAAAATATTAATGCAGATATGGTTTTTTAAAGTCTGATGAAAATAGAAGAACACAATCAAAATGATAAAATTTGTTCAAAATAAAATATATTTCAGTAGATATAGTCACGGCCAAATCTATATGGGTGCACGTCATCAATGAGATATAATGACGTCAGCATTACCAACTTTGAATTGTAAAGTTACTGCCGTTAAGTTTGCTTTTTTAAGGCGTAATTCTGATGTGTTATTAAAAATAAATCATTCATTTGCGTATTGTTTACCAAGAACTGTAACAATTTCCTTGTTTTAAAACGTTTTTTCACGAAATTATCAAAATAAAACCATTCACTTAGTAATTTTTGTGTGTGCCAGTTGGTAATAGCTTAAGGCTGGCGCGCACCGTTCAATATTATTGATGGGTCGCTGTCATTTTATATTTGACGTATTTTTGTAATTGTGACATTTCGTCCGGAAGCATCGTTTTTGCAAATTATTATAAATAATATTATACATTATGTTTATAAGATTCTATCCCTGGATTGTGCAAACAATGATATAAGGCTTGTTGGCAACTAGCCGTTATTAGATTTCGAAGACATTGCGCCCTTAATAATAAATTTGGGGAAATAATCAGACTTCAATTCTGACCTGGTTTGCTCTGATGACAAGGACGACTGGTAATTTATTATTTTTGTGTTTCTGATAATTTAGTATTTTTTTGATATGTGCATATGTAATAAAAATGTAATAAACTCCGTTTGTTTTCTCTTTAAACACATTTAATAAAAATTTGCCTGTAACAAACTCCTAATTAGTTAGTGCAGAAGATTATAAGAAGGACGTTATAATTCCATCTTAATAACAGCCCCCACCGCTATAAACAGTCAACAATACACGAGCGTTAGATTGTGTCTGGGCACGTATGAATAGACCTTAACGCTGACGTCATATGCCGTTGATGACGTGCACCCATACAGATTTGGCCGCATAAATTGCCAGAAAAAAAATCGATGTTGTTTTCTACCTTGAAACACCCAGTATTTTAGAGAAATTTAATTGATTTTATTTTTTAAGGTAAGTATTTATTAGTAAGGTAAGTATTTATTAAGGTGAGATATATTTATTAAGGTATGGATTGCTAATTCATAAATAAAAATTATACCTACAATTTTAGTAAATACGGTGGCAAAGTACAATTTTATCATTGTCATTAGCAACTTTGAGAAATATAGTTAAGATTATAAAAATTCTTCTAAAGATGAACGTCATTGTTCCTGACCAAATTTTGGACACAATGGTGTGTTCGAAATGTTCGAAATACCTATCGGTCCTTCCAGTGCACATGTATCCAAACGGGGAAAAGAAATGTGGCCGGTGTATTGAAGAATGCGACCACGGTATGCCGTCGCAGGTAAATAAAGTTTTCCCCACGATGCTTTTTAAGTGCTCAAATCGGTACGAGGGTTGCACCGATCTTTTACTACCGGAACAAGTGACCGACCACGAGAAAAGCTGCCTCAGCAGATATTTCGACACTTGTCCATTATGTCCCGACCTGAAGATGCCACCGTATATGATGGTGGAACATTTTAAAAGACGCTACAGACATTACTTTTTAAAGAAACCCACATTCCAAATTGATGTCAACATTGAATCAGACAATTACTACCTGTACATCGCAGAAGACATGGTGTTTATGTTGAACGTGTTGGTGGACACTACGCGTCACAGAATATTTTTGGATAATAGGCTACTGGGGTCGGAAACAATGGCGAAAAAAATAAATCAACAATTTCGTATACAAGATATCACCACTGAGCTGAAACCATGCAAGACAACGTTAAATGGAAGCTTCGTTTTACCCATGGAGGAATTTAAAAAACATGGAAACATATCATGCGAACTTATTTTGAAGTTTGATGTTAAGTTCGGCGTGGTAAAAAGTAATAATACAACGAATCCACAATGTAGCGTGGCAGAGCTGAATAAAAATAATTTAAGTGGTGATAATAGTACAGCTGGTGACAAAAGTATTTTAAAATCTTGTGAGGGAGATCAAAATAACTACAAATTAAATCATAATTGTAATTATTATAAATCCCATTACTATCGAAAACTTTATGTGTCTAAGGGCTTTAAAAAACTAAGACCGAATTATAAACTATCTGGTTGTGAAATGTTTATTAAAACTGGTAATCTCCACATTTTATTTTGTAGTTTTTGTGGTGAGGATTTGTATCCAAAGCATTTTTATTTATTCGACGTCTGTTCGGTCCCAACTTCAAGTTGCGATTTCTGTAAGAATCATGTGAAAACAACATGCTCCAAAGGACACTCAGTAAGACATCTTCTAAGATTTAAAAAATTTCACTCAGCACTTCGAGCTTATTGCAAATGAAACTGCGGCCAACACTTTAATTATTCCGAACTCCATATACACGAAGAAGATTGCATTTCCCGCGATCCGATACAGAGTTGCCCTGTACAAAAATGCAAAATGGGAAATTTTAAAAACTTTTCGGAATTTAAGAAACATTTTAAGGTTCATAAAAATACATGTTTGCAGCCTTACTGCGATAATAGTAAATGGTTTGGTAAAATTGAGGGAAAAGAGTTCTATCTTTTTCAGGATCATGTAACTGTTGTTTTTTCTGTAAGTAATAAATCCATTAAATTAACGAACGTTATACAAAACGATGAATGCAAGCTTAAATTTTTTGTGAATGAAACACAAATTGCATTAAATCAAGAAATTAAATGTGATCGCAAGGTTCCTCTTTATTTTAGAGTACTAGAAGAACACGTTGTAACATGTAATAATTAGTTGAGTTATCTATAAATTTGTAATATTGTAACTAAAAAATTTTTTTATGTTTATTTTTAAGTTTATATTGCATGTTATTTTAATAATATTATATTATTTGTATGTACCTACTCTTGTATCAATAATATAATACTTTGGTTTTATTTTATTTTTTGAATTTATAAATGCGTTTATTTTTTATAAAAATTAAACGCATTCATAAGGTTATTCCCTTGTAGATAGATCTTTTAAATTTTGTTAATCAGTTCCATTGTTTTAGTTGGCTCAAAAACCTATATAGGTGGAAACTTTTATTCTTTTTTCGTGCCACCAACCAATTCGGGTTGAATCTAAATCCAGAATTAAGAAAAATGTTTTCTTCCTAACTAACTAAATCTTAAATTGGTCGCGATTGTATGACATTTGACAACTGTCAACGGGCTGAAGTTAGCTTTAAGATATATCTTAAAGCTAACTTCAGCCCGTGACTAAAAACCTGTTGCTAAAAGGCCATAAAGCCACAACTTGTCAATGGGTATTTAAAAGTGTCATGGAAACATATGTACGATAATGAGCGCTTTAAAGGTGGAAGTTGAAAAAATACTTTAACGTTTTGTAGACACATAAATAATGTTATAAATATTATGT